CAAGGGGCCAGGGCCAGTCAATACCAGCAAGAGCCACCAGCAACCTATAAGAGGACAGAGACTGCCTCCAACCTGCCAAATGAGGGCACCAAATCCCTCCCCAGGTGGGAGCTCCAGGTTCACAACTGGTGCAACATTTACCTATAAAAAAAAAAAAATTTACCTACAATGTCCAGGGTGCAACAAAAAAGGGAGATATATAATGAAACAAGAAAAAGCAATAACATAAAAGCAGGACCAAAAACAGACCTCAAAACAGCCACTAAAAATATATGCAAAGGACTAAAGCAACTACAGTACAAAGAATTAAAAGAAGGCATGATGACAGTATTCCAGCAAACAGTGCACATCAGTAAAGGGACAGAAATGTTCAAGAGAGTCAAGGAGAAATCCTAGAGTTGTAAAGTACAACTGAGACAAGATTCACCACCGAGGCTCAGCAAGACAGCTGATGCAGTCAGTGAGCTTACAGAGAGGTCAGTAAGAGCATGCAACTTAAAAAACAAAGATAAAACAGAAGGAAGGGGAAAAGTCTCTGAACATGAGATAATATTCAGTGCACCCACACATAAACAATGGGTGTAGAAAAGGAAAGGAGAGAAAGGAGTAGGAACAACAGATTGTGACTGAAAATTTCTAATGAGGCAATTTTAGCCTAATACTCAAGAAGCTTAATTGAGTTCTCATGCAATAACAGAGATCCACACCCTGACACTCCTAGTCTAAATGCTAAATTCCAAATAAAAAGGCTAAACTCTAGAAAGCAACAAGAAAAAATTGATTTGTCACTTACAAGAAACCCCAATAAGATTAACGGCTGACTTCTCATCAGAAACAATGGAGTCCAGAAGGCAGTAGGATAACAGTCAAAGGGCTGCAAAGAAAAAGCACTGTTAACCAAGTTTCTTACGGCAAAACCTTTCTCATTAAATAAGGGCAAAATAAAAACATTTCCAGGTAAACAAGAACTGGGAAAATCTGTTGCTGGCAGACCCACCTAACAGAAAACACTAAAGTAAACAAGCTCTCCGCAGTGAAAGCAAGTGACATCAGAGGTGACTGGAATGCACCAGAGAAGACATGGCGAGTACACAAAGGGCATTACTGCACGTGAGCTGCTACAGAGGAACACAAAGGCACATTTCTTCTTTCCCCTCTCAACTGGCTTAAAAAACAACTGCAGGAAACAACATGTGCAGTGTTACTCGGGAGCCTTTACCACAGACATGTAATACATTTGACAGTAACAACACAAATGAAACTGGAGGAGAAGAAGTGAAGCTGTTTTAGAGAAAGGAGATGACTACAGCTGCTAAGTCAAATCCACTGAAAGAAATAAGAGCCAGAAAGGGTAAAATAGGTTAATACAGTAATGCTATAGATAAGACATTTGTTCTCCTTTCTTCCTGTGAAAAAAACATAAAATTTATACAAAGTAACATAAGAAAAATACATTATTAAATCTGTGAGATGTACAGATATAATACGTATAAAGATCATGCCACCAAGCCATGAGTAATGGTGCATGTCTATAATCCCAGAATTCTGGGGGGTTTGGGGCAGGACAGGGTGTTTCAGTCCAGCCAAGGCAATTCAGTGAGTCTTGGTCTGTAAATAAAAAATAAAATTTTTTAAAAAGGAGCTATGGATTAGCTCAGTGTGAAGACCTTGGGTTCACTCCCTATAACACACACACACACACACACACACACACACACACACACACACAATCATCATCATGCCAGCTAAAAAGAAAGAAGGGAACAGAAATATGTGAGGGTGAAGTTTCTCATCTCACCAAAATTAAATTAATATAAATTTGAAGTAGATTTGGTTAAGTTAAAATGTGTACTATAGTGAGATATGCTTGATCATGCCTGTGATCCCAGCTGTTCAGGAGACTGAGGCAGAAAGACCTTAAGTTTGAGGCCAGCCTGGGCTACTCAGTAAGTCTGTGTCTAAAAACAAAAAATAAAAAGGGCTGAGGATGTAGCTCAGTACAAGGACCTTGGTTCAATCTTCAAGACCAAAAAAAAGCATATTGTAAGCCTTAAAGCAACTACTAAGCACTCTCAACATACAATTAAAAACCTGTAAAGGAACAAATGTCAGGGAAAAGACATGGAGAATATAGAAAACAAAAAGACACAGCTAGAAGTCTAAATGCATCAAACATTAAAGGTGAATCCAACAGTCAATTAGATCAAAACACAAGACTGCTAGAATAAAATCTTTAAAGATCCTCCCATGTAGTTGTAGATTTCCCCAACTACAGGAGGTCTGCAGAGGCTATACTAATTTCAGAATAGGCTTTAAAACCAAAAGTATCACTTGACATAAAGATGGACAACTCATGATGACGAAAGGGTCAATCCATCAAGAAGATACTCCCACTTAACAATGTGTCCCAAAGTACACAAAGCAAAATCCTGACAGAAAGGAAGTTAGAAAGACAATTCAGAAACAGCTGGGGACTTCAAAACCAACTTCTGTAATGGATGTAACAATTGGCAATACATAATTAGGTAAGCAAAAGCCTACATGATACCATAAACCACTAGCCCTAACAGACAGCTCTCTCCCATACCCAGCAAGAAAACACATCTCACCAACATGTCTGTTCTCTATGGAAAACGTAGGTTAGGCCTCAAAACTAGCCTTAATTTAAAAATACTGAAATCAAAGTATGTTGTATAATTCCAATGGAAATCAGAAATCAATGACAGATACAAAATTCAGGGGATTCACAGATATGCAGAAGTCACAGTGTACTCTTTTAATAAATGCGCCAAACACTTCTTGAAGGAAATGAGAAAATAATTTACAATGAATGAAAACAGAGCATAACAAAACTCACACGATTCAGCTCCAGCCCTGAAATACATAAATTATGGCTTGTAAATACCTGTATTTCAAAGTAAGAAAGAAAAAAAGCTAAATTCAATTCAAACCTTCACCATAAGCTAGAAAAAGAACGAACTAATCCTGGAGTAAGCAAGAGGAAAGAAGCAATATTACAGAGGAATTATATAAACTAGAAAGTAGAAAAATAGAGAAAAATTAACCAAACCAAAAGCTGAGCTTAAAAAAAAATCAGTAAAATTAAAAAACCTTTGGAGCCGGGCATGGTGGTGCATGCCTATAATCCTAGCACTCGGGTTCGAGACCAACCTGGGCTACAAAGTGAGCTCAAGGCCAGCCTGAACTGCACAGTGAGACTCTGTATCAAAAAAGACAAAAAAAAAAAAAAAAAAAAAAAAGTTTAACTAGCGATTAAAAAAAAAGATAGAGACTCAAACACCAACATGAAGAATAGAAGAGGAGAGGAGACTACAGTGATCTCACAGAGAGTTATGAGAAAGTGCCAGGAAAAACTGCGCCAGACAGCTTCAGAGAGATGAACAGACCCCAGCAGACAGACCAGAACAAACGGGAGATGAGCAGACTTCTAACAAGAGGTTGAATTAGTAATTTTAAACTCCCACAAAGAAAGGCCCAGGCCCAGACAGCTTGACTGAGTAACTGTACCGAACATTCAAAGAGAAATCAGTATCAACCCTTCACATCTCTTTAGAAACAGAAGAGGAGGGACCACTTCCCAACATTCACTCATTCATTCATTCATTCATTCATTTATTCTGCAGTATGAGTGATTGAACCCAGGGCCTCCCCATTACGCTATAGCCCAAGCCCTTTTTTAAAATTTTTATTTTGAGACAGGGTCTCACTAAGCTACTAAATTGCCCAAGGAGGGCTTAAACTGGCAAATCTCCTGCATCAGCCTCCTGGAATACTGGGATTGTAAGTGTGCACCACCACACCTACCTCCCAGTTTACTTTATAAGGCCAGTAGTATTGTAAGAATACTACAGACCAGTATCATTTAATAGGGCCAAAGAAGTCAACATAATACTAGGAAACAGTATCCAGTTATAAAAAGTATTACACACTATGATCACATGGGATTCATCCTGAGAATGAAGGGTTAATCCAACACAAAAACCAATGTAATGTATTATAAAACAAGAGAATAAAAGACAAAACTACATGATCATCTCCAGAGATGCAGCAATGTACCTGGCAAACTACAGCTTGAGTTCATGATAAAACAGAACACCAAAACTGTAAACTCAGAACAGTAGAGAACTCCCTTCATATATTAAAAAAGACAACCAGTGTCCATGTAACTGACACCATACTTAATGGTGAAATGCCAAAGGCCTTCTTACTAATGTCAAAACAAGACACACTCAAGAGGCTGAGGCAGGAGGATCACTGCAAGTTTGAGGCCAGTCTGGGCTACATACTGAGTTCAAGACCAGCCTGAACTACATAGCAAGACACTGTCTCCCAAAAGCAACAACAACAAAAAAACCAAGACAAGAGTCTCTATTCTTACCACATTTAGCCAGGATGATTAGGCAAGAAATAATAAAAACTAACAGATTGGAAAGAAAGAAAGTAAAACTGCCTCTATTTGCATGCAAATGACATCACTTACAGAAATCCTACGAAATCTATTTAATAGCAACTAGAGTTACAGACAGAGCTCAGCAAAATTGTATGACGCAATTAATATGTAATAATCAAATTTCTACAAACTAGCTATGAACAATTCAAGATGCAAACAGGAGACAATTCTATTTACAACAGCATCAAAATGAATTAGTGTGGAATAAAATTAACCAAGGAAATCTAAAATTTGTAGTGCAGACTTTCTCTTTTCTTCTCACCTTCCTCCCTCCCTCCCTCCCTCTCTACACACACACACACAAACATACAAAAACACACCCAGAAAACAGATAGGCTTCTAAGGACTACTTCATGATTAAGAGAAGCAGTGCTATGGAAGGTTAGTATGCTGTAGACACAGCCATGCTTGGTAAACCACTCATGTGCACAGACAACGGCAACACAGGTGAGGGCGGGACAGCAGAGACAGAGCTGCAGAGCGAAATGCAACACGTCTTAATGGTGGCCTCATGCAGCGTGGTACATACCCAGACAGGACCGTTTGGGGGGAGCTTTGAGTTCTTCATCCTTACTGTCTGCAGCTACATTTTTAAAAAGAGAAAAAGAAAACAAAGAAAGACAAAAACAGACTGGTTTTAACACTGGTAAGCCATTGTTTCCCAGCCCTTTTTGCATTTCTTTAAAAAAAAAAATCTTGGAACAGAAGGACCACAAGATTTTCATGTCCATGCATTAAAAAAGTACTCTCTGAATTATTCTCCTAGTCTACCTCCACCAGCATCTTAAGAAAGTACATAAGGAAAAGGGAAGGAAATGTTGGATCAAAACCTTTAAAAATCACCTTTTCACTTCAATTCTAAAGTTAAGACAGCATATAGCATAAAGTGTCTGCTCTGGTAACAGAAAGCCCCCTGACTGACCCCCCTTCTCTTGTCTTGACCAGCAGTATACAAGCCAGCAGTGATTCAGCATAGCTGGTACAGCACTGAAACACTTCTGCTGGTTGCTGATACAGCTATTTCAAAGCACACAGGGCAATGTGTCCACTACAGAAAGGCAGTTCATTCAACATGTGAACGTGACACACAGAGACAGCATGACACAGACACTCAGCCTGCCAGAGCATGTATGTTCAGGGCAAAACCCAGGATCCTGAAGTAACAGGTCATGGTTCAACCTCCCTCCTATGTGCTGTCCCAGGACAGCAGCCAAAGGTCATGGTCAGGGCACGTCCAGTGTCACTTCTGCAGAACCCTCCTGCAGTTCAGGACAGAAGTGACTAAAACAGAAATGGAATCACAGGCTGTGTGTCCATGGCTCAGGACAGTGGAATCTACCCTAAAGTGTAAATGTCACAGGTAAACAGCTAAAAGCAAATACCAGGTGACCTCTGACCCTGGATGCTGGTCTACTCACAAAGCAGGTGCCCACTGCAGGCTGCTTAGGTGAAGTAATAACGTCTCCTCAATCTGAGGTTTATGGAACAAGCACACCACATGAAATGAAACTTCTCTCTTGCCCAACACGATGAGTTCAGACCAATTTTCCCATTCACTGGCAACTCTTCTATAGATCAACACCCACAAGAAGGAAGCCAGGCATGGTGGCAAATGCCTGTAATCCCAGCACTCTGGGAGGATGAGGTAGAAGGATCACAAATTTGAGGCCAGCCTGAATAATTCAGCAATTTAGTAAGACTGTGCCAAAATTCTAAAAACTCAACGAGGAGTCAGGAAGGTAGCTCAGGGCAAAGGTCATAGGTTCCATCTCCAGTACTGCAAATAAACAAAAGTCCAAAGCAGGGCAAGAGAAGAGAGAACACATGAGAACATCCTGGCACAAATCACGGCCACAGCATGGGCTTAAACCAAGAATCGGAGAGGGCACAGGCAGACACAGGTCTACTGACAAGTTTAAGCCCAGCCCAGGAAGACACTGGGGTCCTGGCCTCTGAGTTGAGAAGCCAGGCCACTTATGGATGGCCTTTGGAGGGGGCTGAGTCTGACAGTGCTGAATTATGGCCAGTGAACTGTGTGGGCCCCTCATTCGGCAGACTACATCCAACAGAAAGCTGTCCAAAGACCACTGTCTGTTTGCTTTCCAATCTACCCCATGATCAGGGATACATTTCAGCATGAATGGTTGCCATAGCCTAGGGTGTATGGACAGAGGGGCCTTGGCAGCAACTGGCCGGGAGGGGAATTTCAAACCCACAGGCCAGAAACCAGGTGAAGAAAGATGTGCCATGGGGTGCACAGAGGGACATGGAAATTGGGAGCTGCTGGAGTGAATACAGCCTGACCACAGACACCACTGGTAACCACACCCAGCAGAACAGGCACAGCAGGACTCAGTACTCACACATAAACATGTGGGTATGCAAACAAAATAGGCCTGAGGAGAGACTCACTACTCCTCCCTCATTACCTGGTAGATTCCAATACTGCAGGATCTGGAAAGAAACCAGTCATTCAAAAACACTCGTTTTTCTTTTTATTCCTTAGTTTGGGGGGGTTGGAGACTTTTTCTTTTGTTTTCCTCTTTTTTCTGTTCTGTATTTGTTTTTCTTTTTCTAGTTCTTTTCTGTTACTATGATCTGTTGATTTCTTTTACTCCTGAATAAGATCATTTACTTCACTTTTCTCTCCTCCTTCACATCTTCCAGTTTACAAATTTTACTTCTTCCATTTTCCCATCCACTGCCCCATTCACCTTTACTAGTATTACTATTAAATTTACTAAGTTATTAATAATCTTTAGATATTTAGTTGACTGTATGTTATTATTCTTGACTTCTATTGTTATAGTGGCACAGTTATTGTTCCCAGTAGATATTTAAGACAGAACAACTGTCGTTGTATCCATATTATCTTTGCCAATATCTTTGTATTGGTTCTTTAATATGTCAATATCCAGCTTATCTTTGACTCTATTATTGTTGCTCATTTTATTGCTATTGCCAGGGAGTCACAGCTGTTGCTATTAACTGGCTTTTACTGTCTGCCAATATTTGGTTTATACGTCATCAACAATACTGGAGAAATCAACTGCTGGTCCAATTACATCACATCCTCCTCTCCAAATTAATGAAGATAGATCTTGGGACAGAGACAAAGGTGTATAGTTGGCCACACCCAGAGCACATCACTGAAAAGCAATACGAAAGAGGAGATGAAGAGATCTCTATACTAGCCCCAAAATATTTCCTTTATAATAGACCCACAACCCTCAGTATAGAAAAAAAGGAAGGAAGTGAGGGAGGGAAGAAAGGAGGGAGGGAGGAAACAAGGCAACAAAATACCTCTCCAAACTCCCAACTTCCCCAAAGCCAATCCATGGAGAATGTATGTACAGGAAATCAAAAGACAATCAAAAGCCAAACAACTGAATTATGTGAAATAATAAAAGAGACAAAAAGGACAAATTAATAAGGTGCTCAGCAAGCTCAAAGATTATATAACTGAACAGATAATTGACTCAATAAAAAGTGATCAGTGAGCTCACAGAAGTCACTAATATAAAGCTTGTCAAACTAATATAAAGCTTATCGAACTAAACAAAGTGATACAAAACATGAATGAAAAGGTACCAAACAGAAACCCAGAAGACAAAAACTTCCATTCAAAGCATGGGGAGCAGAACCAATGTGAAAATACAGTATACAGCTGAGGGTGGTGAACTATTATTCAGAGATTCCTTAGAAACAAGATAGCCAAACCATGGTGGCACACACCTATAATCCCAGCACTTGGGAGGCTGAGGCAGGAGGATCGCTGAGTTCAAGACCAGTTTGGGCTACACAGTAATTTGAAAGCCACCCTGAACTATTCAGCAAGACCCTGTCTCAAAAACAAACAAACAAAAAACCCATAAGAGAACATGATAAAAATATCTAACAGATACTACACAACTTAGAAAACTAATCTAAGATCAACTGGAGTTAGTGAAAAAGCAGAGGACAGTACAAATGGCAAAAAAAAAAACCTGTTTACATACATAACAGATGAAAATTTTCCAATTATGGAGAAAGAATTTACACACAAGCAAGACATATACAGTGGTACCCCTATTCACAAACTTGATTCTTTCCATGATTCTAGTCACAATCCACATCAATAAGCTGGACAAGAACTGAATCAAATTCAATGATTAGGTTCAAGGTTGACCTTATGGAGCAATTTGATTCAGTTCTCATCCAGTTTGGTTTGCAACCACAATGTGGAGAGAACTGAGTTTGTAAAATGAGGTACCACCATAAAGCCCCAAATAGACATGATCACAAAAGGACTTTATAACACCTCCTAGTCAAAATACCAGAAGAAACAGAAGAACTGAGTATTAAAAGCTGTTAGAGAAGAGCAACAAACCACTTACATGATCAAAACTCTGAAGAAAATAGGTATTGAAGGAAGACAGGTGTGGTGGTGCATGCCTGTAATCCCTGCACTTGCAAGAATGAGGCAGGAGGATCGCCATGAGTTCAAGGCCAGTCTGAGCTAAACAGACAAGCTCAAGGCCAGCCTGCACTACATAGCAAGACCCTGTCTTAAAAAAAAAAAAAAAAGGCATAGCAGGGACCTTATCTCAATCTGATGAAAGCTATTTATAACAAATTTACTGCCAACATCATATTAAATGGGCAAAAACTGAAAGCTTTTCCTCTAAATCAGAAACAAGACAAAGATGTCCATTATCACCACTCCTTTTCAATATAGTTCATGAAACTTTACTTAGCAAAAGCAACTGAAAAAAAAAAAAGACGTGTAAGAAAAAGTTAAACTATCCTTACACACAGGTAACATGATCCTTTACATAGAAGACCCAAAAAACTCCTCGAAGGACTCCTACAACTAATAAATTCAGCAAGGTAGCAGCATACAAAGTCAACACACAAAAATCAGTAATGTTTCTGTACACTAATAATGAAAATGATACTATTCTCAATAGCCTCAAAATAAAATACTTAGGAATTATCCTAACAATGTGAAAGACCTCTTAATAAAATTATAGTACTCTGAAAAAAGGAAAATGAAGGGGACATGAGAAAGATACCCCATTTCTGGATACGCAAAACCAAAATGGTCATACTTTCAAAATGGACAGATTTAATGCGATACCCAACCAAATGCTGACAGCATCCCTCACAGAACCAGAAAAACCAATCCTAAAATTTGTATGAAACCAGAAAAAAAATCTAAAATAGCAAAGCAAGCATGGACATAGAGAGGAATCACAATCCAAGATTTCAAGCTCTATTACAAAGTTACAGTGATGAAAAACAGCATGGTACTGGGACAGAACAGACATGTAGATCAGTAAAGCTGTATATAGGATGCAGAAACAATTCCAGACATAGCCAATCATCTGATCTTTGACGAAGGGGTCAAAAACATATGCTAAGAAAGATAGCCTCTTTAATAAATGGTGCTGGGAAAACTTGATGGAGACCACTGTGAAGAAGCTCCGAGCAGGACTTAAATTAACCAACTGGCATTTTATGTTTACTTGTGAATCTGTCCAAAGCCTAGGCCACTTGTCTGGAAGTGGGCGATGGACTCATAGTACGTGAACCTCTGTGAGT